GAGGGATCCCTCTCCCAGGACGGACAGACGTGCAATAGATGCCGCCGTGTGTAAATTGAAAAGATAATTCATTATACAGCATATAGACCGAATGTTAGGAAATGCATGTGTCTGTAATAAGAAGATGAATCCACGAAGATGTCAGCAATCCTGTGGGAGCCTTCAGGGAGGCAGCACGACGAGACCCAGGCAGGACCGCAGAGACAGGTTCAGCCACGACCCGAAGTCCACGACTTAATCCAGAACTCAGGATAGAGGATCCAGGACTCAGGACTACAGCAACAGGATCAGCCTCGACTCCGGATCCCGGCGTTGATATAGATACAAAACAAGAAAAAAGATTTGGCTGGGTTAATCGGAACAAGAGAATACACAGACACAGACAGAGAGGGAAAAGGTACAGTGGAAATCAAAGGAGATTTCAAACAGAAAGCAATGGATGAACCACAGCTTATCCACTTCTCGTTTATGTTTAACAAGCACTGAAAGTCCCTTCACAAACCGATTAAGCCAAATCAATAGGTTGAATGATTTGTAATCACTTTATTACATTTGGTAGAAGTGAAACTACTCTCCACTCGCTAAAATGCTTCAGTCGTTTCCCTGAATTAGACAATGTCCTTCTTCTCTTGGATATCAATTCCTATTAATCCATTAATAACTGTTGTGTTTTCTCAAATGACTTCCTCTACCTCCAGTTCCTTTGTACTCTGAAAGCTGATGGATTTACCCATCAGTCACTGGTACTTCCTCTTCTGATAGTCTGGTTCTTTTCAATTACACACAAAACTAATAACAGATATCTTACGTCTCGCCCGTGCTGCAAAGTAAATAAGGATGTAAAAAAAAAAAGGTCACCGGACGAGAGTCATATTCTCTCATTGACTAAACAATCACACATACAAAAAAAAAAGCTTAGTTTATCGGAATCTAATCGAAGTATAAACCCAAGAAGTTTGAGTTTAGTCAGCCCCCCCTTGTGAAACCCTCAAGCTTTACCCTATACTCATGGTGTGTCTGAAGGCCTCTTACACTCTCTGCCTCTCTGTGTTGCAGCTCTGTTGGACCTGCCGGTGCAGCCCAGTGCATCGGAGGTGTTGGGTTTCGGTCAGACCTCCAACGCTTCACCCAGCGGGCTGCCTTTCAGATTCTACGAGCAGTCGAGACGGTCGCCCAATGACCCGACAGCGAGCAGAGCCGTGTTCGCCTCTGTAGACAAAGTACCAGGTGACCTACAGATCAACAGATTCCACTGCCTACACACACCGCCTTATCCTTCAGCATCAGAGACTCATCCTTCCATGCAACCCTCTCTGATTATGTCTAGACATGCTAAACCCTAAAAAGATACTTAGATGAGAATATTTACATCTGATTGATCCTGAAACAATGACAGTGAGCTCAGGCGCCTGGTTGACACACACTGGATTCTTTATGAAAAATATAAATAACCAATAATATAATCTTTTTTCTTGGAGTAACCTTTCTCAGAAAGTTGCCATGACCTTTAACCAAAATGGTTATAGAAACGTATGTGGCAAAGGGTTAGAGATGTGATCTTCAGTGTGGAAGTTTAACAGTACGTCGATCTTGTTTCGATCCGGAGAGTCGGGTTCGAGGCTTTGCAAAGAAAAACAACTCCTGAGAAAACAGCTGGAAACTCTAAAGTTCATGGAATTCATTTTTTGTTAAATACCTTTTTCTATAGTTGAATTTCAGGTTCACTTCTGTTGCCTTTTCTGTTCCTGCTAACGCCCAGGTTTATATTACCTGCTGTGTGTGTGTGTGTGTGTGTGTGTGTGTGTGTGTGTGTGTGTGTGTGTGTGTGTGTGTGTGTGTGTGTGTGTGTGTGTGTGTGTGTGTGTGTGTGTGTGTTATAATATATAATTTCCCAGCCATGGTAACTCATGACTGTGTGTGTGTGTGTGTCCATGTTCAGGTTTCGCAGTGGCTCACTGTGTGTCGCACAGTCCCTCGCCCCTCTCCTCCCCCTCTCCTCCGTCCAGTGGGAGTGGGAGCACAGGACGATGTGACTCTGTTACTGCGAGCACTGTATCGGCTCAGAGCCCCACAGGTAGCTCACACACACTCCATACACACATCAACACACAAAGATAGAGCCAAACGTTACCCTTTTCTTTTGGAAATTGTGTTTACTTCTAGTGTTCATTTCCTCAGCTATTTTTTTATTTAGTTTTACTCTTAGTCCTGTGTTACATTTCCTTTTTAGTTTTAGTCTTAGTCCTGTGTTACATTTCCTTTTTAGTTTTAGTCATATTTAGT